AAAGGGTCAGATCACATGTGGTTATAAGTTATAATGACCTTTGATACAACACGTTCAAAAGGAAGTGGTCGACTTGGTTAACACGACTAATGGTCTCAGGAAAAATCGTTTCCTCGATAGTCGGTCAAGATGATGTATTAGTATCACATGTCCCTTTCACAAGTTAACTTCTTTCTCCTTTGAAACCCATATACATATACATATAGGGTGAGATCGAAAATGAAACAAAAACCCCAAAAACCAGATAAAAAAAGTATCAAAACAGATATCAAATTAAAGATAATAAATTAATCATTATTTCAGTATAATTAATTTTTATGTTTCTCAACTAACCAACCAACCACATTTTTGCATGATGGAACATGAGTCATCCACTTGCTCCTTTTTTAGCCATTTCTTTTTGGGAATACAAATGTTACCCAAAGTCAATGTTAGTGGGCCCATTATTTATGGCGTCAATATCTCCCATTGGACCTTCAAACTATAGCCCAATAAAAAGGTGGGCCCATCACAGATTTATATTTTAAGTAATTTTCATATTTAGTCCCTGTGGTTATATCAAAATTTTAGATTAGATCCCCGTAATTACAAATATTGTCACTGTGGTTTTGATTTTGTTGCAGTTTGGGTCCTTCATCCTAGCTCTGTTATTTGAAAGTCGTTAGTCCCTTGCATATGCTCCCGACATGGGGGTATTTTTGTCATTTTTAAAAACACAGCGTTTCTTTTAATATTTTAATAATAATTCTTTCTCTCTTATTTGATAATAAAAGGTCAGACTAACCCTTCTATTTGACTGCTTTTGTTTACGTCCTTCTACTTATCATAGAAGTGTCACTTGATTACCTATAATAGATAGAAGAGTTTCCGATTTGGACCCTTTGAATGTCAAATCAGACGAAATGAGTTTTTATTACAATATTGAAGGAGATGGTATTTTTTTGTATATGTCAAAAATGCCCCTTACGTTGGGGGCATGTGAGGGGGATTTAACGGCTCTAAAGTAACAAAGTTAGAATGAGAAACCCAATTTGCAACAAAATCAAAACCACGGTCACGGTACCTGTAATTATTTTCTTTTGGAGGACTCAATTCAAAATTTTAATGTAATCATATAAACAAAATCTGTAATTTACTCTTTAATTTTTATATCTTGTTTGCTGTATACTTCTTAGTCTTTAAAAACAAGTTGAGTCGAGTCGAACCAATGAATCAAATATTAAGGTTGGAGTGTGTAGTTGTTTTGGTGAATTTTCTATTAGTTGTTTTACCTTTTTTTTATTATATTCCATTAATATGAAACTTTAAAATTAAATGTTCAACAGAGGAAAATAAAAATTTTGTTAAATATATGGAATTTTTTAATAATATAATTAATGGTGTGATATCTAAAATGAAGAAGTTGTTATAGTTGAATGTAATTTTTTTGTAAATTTGAATTTTGATTATTTATTTTGAAGAATTTATTGGAGATGTTGTGATGCATTACATTGCATCACATATGATTAACTATTGTGAAAGGGTGTTCTCGTGTTTTATGTAAAATGATGATTATCTCATTTGAAACCTCTCTCTCTCTCTCTCACACACACACACACACACACACACATATATATATATATATATATATTATAATTTTTAGTAAACATATTTGATTAAATTTACAATGTTTAAATTATAAAAATATTAAAACTAAAAGTACAATGCTATAATAGAGATTGGTGATATTATAATAAAGTAATTTGAGACCGTTTACCAAATACTTATCTGGTAAGTGTTTACGGGTAAAATTTAACACTATTATTTACTTACTGGGTAATATTTTAGTCCACAAAAACGACATTGCATGCAACAATTTACCCGGTAAGCGTTTACCGTGGTAAAAGTCATCGTCCTCATTTACCGGACAAAATTATTGGTCCTTGTCTCGCTTTTACCGAATAAGATTCATAGTCTTTACCATATTCATCCGGTGAGGTAATGTGACTTGGAAAACGCTTAACCTAATAAGGGTTTGGTAAACGGTCCATTTATCTTACATACATAACCGTATTAACAAGCAAAAGTGAAACTCATGGTCTTGTTTGTTTAAAGAAAATCTCCCAAACAGATTTTCTAAAATTTCTTTAGAATCTCTAAAACAAAAGAAAATTCAACTCCAATAAATTCTTCATTTCATAGATTACAATATTAATTATATTATTAAAATATTTCATTCAACAAATAAAATATTATTTATCTCTTTACACATTTAATTTTAAAGTGTTTTATTGATAAGAATATATCATAAAATATTTCTGTCATCGTAATTATTTTTTGTAGAGTTCTTTAAATTTGAATAATTTTATCTACTTTCCCTGTTCTGGGAAACCTAGTGGAGCAAAAAACATGCATAAAATCACCAAAATCTCTGTTTTAAAGAATCCATTGGACGTATTGTTGATATTCTTTTTTTTTTAAGTATATAATATTTATGTACGATAAATGCAACAGATAAACTCATACACCCTCACCGCCTTTGGTGAGGTTTAAACCCCTAACCTCCTGAAAGGCCAAAGGCTACGATACCATTAGGTCAAAAACCCTTTGGTTGTTGCTGATATTTTTATTTTCACTAAAATTTTATGTTCAAATTTATAATTGATAAAAAAAATTCTAGAAGAGATATTATCTTTTTTACTTTAAATTAAATCATAACGGATTTCCACAAACCACAGGGAATAGAACCGTAATTTACTCATTTATGTATAATAAACTTCAAAAAGGGGTATTTTGTAAGGCTAACGGACAGCCAAATGACCCGCGGATCGACATCACAACATTAAAAAGACTACCACGATGGAGCCATCGGTCTTCAAACCTGTCGCTTAACGAAAACATGAAAATCAACATAAAAATAGGGATTTGTCTCCCACTCAGACACACATCCATAGGTACGAAATTTGTAGCGACTCCGATTAACCTGAAAACATTCCAACCATGTAAGCAAAACTAAGCCATATGAGATCAACTCGAACCCACCCCTCTAAATAACCCCACTAAAATGTGAGGCCCATACTCACAAGAACACACCTTCTCCAACCATCAACTGTAATCCAATTTCTAATCGCCTTAGAAATTATCTGGCCAAATACGGCACGGATGATTGGAGCTCGCCGACCGGAAAAGGCTGCTTTTTTCCCGGCCAGTTGGAGATGCTCCGAGTTCCATTTGCTAGAGAAATCGTCTGACAATTGAGCTAAATTTGTTTCATTTACATCTGTAAGCATGTTTTGTGGATACATATCTCCCTCAAACAGAGTGAAAATGGATCAATAATATGTCCATCCGACAAAACACCTACGTATCCTCACATTCAGATACGTCTGAATGTATTTGGTACGCATGAAAGAATCCATGTTTGACAGGATATTAGATTGAGACAGAACAGTACGTAAATAAGATCGGTGAAACAAAAATCAGAAAGATGGGACAAGGTTGGATTACTACTAAACTATCACGTCAAATTAAAACTCTAAAACCTTCCAAAATTCTTTCATCCGTTAATCTCACGCTCGCTTGTCTAGTCCAATCTCGCCGCTTACCAGACGCAAGTACGCAACCTTAAGATCTGCATACATCCTATCCTCAAACCATATCTCAGTGACATATATTGGGTTTGTTTGGTTCGGTCTGGTGTTATTGAATATGTAGAATGATTTCATATTATTTGGAAGGGTGAGTTTACCCTTTTCCGTCTTCGTTCATCATGTTTAACTCTTTACATCTGATAGAGTTAAATGCAATAAATGACGGTAAATAAGCAAGTAATTGTAGATCAAAAAAATCACCAGGCCCAAACCCTACCTTTGTGTGGGGATATGCAGAGTTCGTTTGGTTTGATTCTCAAATTTCAACAAAGAACATAAAGACCAAGACAACTATTTGCCATCCCCCCCTAAAGACTTCAGACCATTTTGAAAATGGTCAGAAGTCTTTGAGGGAGAGATGGCAAAAAACTGCCTTTAACGGCATCCAGATTTGCACACAAGAAAGAGAAAAAAAGACATTGTTTGTTAGTACTCCCCCAAGAGCTCCATGCTCAACGCTCGTATGTTTCAAAAATCATCGAAAGATACAAGACTAAGCTAAAGCAAGAAGCCCTTGAGGGAGAGTTAACAACCATTGCCTTTCGGGTATTCAATATGCTACTCATTTGTTTTTTTCATCAAAGAGCTAACTTCTATTTATAATCACAGAAATCAGACATAAAGTGTTGGTGGGACCTTAATTGACACAAGTCGGTACTAAAGATCCTCTAATAAACCAATCTAAACCAAACCAACTCGGTATATCTTAAAGATGCACAAGGCCCGGGAATTTTGGGGCCTGGGCTTTGGCCTTCCAAGCTCGTTTCCAGTGAGCAAAAGAAGGGCCAGGCTTTTTTAGGCCCAGGCTGGCCCGGGCTTTAGGCTTGAAAAAGGGCCTGATTGGGCTTTTCTGGGCTGGGCCTACGCCCAAACTTTTGGCCTGATAGGGCTTCAGGCTCACTACGCTGGGTTTTTTTGGACCAAGGTCGGGTCTGCGCCTTCCCAAAAAAATTGTGGTTTTTAAGGCTTTTTTGGGCTTAACCAGGCTTTTTAAGGTTGGGCTTTTTTGGGTGGGGCTTTCCCCAAAAAAATGGTCTGTTCAGGCTTTAGGTCACTTGGCATTGGTTTTTTGTGCCGGACTTCGGGCTTGGGCTTTTTTGTATATCTCTAGTATATCTTTCTCCAAAGCAGGGTCTAGGGTGGGATGTAGGCAAACATGTCCTCTACCCCAAAGGGTACCCTGCTTGTGCAAAAGTGCAAATGAAAAAGAAGAACCAAGATCAGTATAAAAAATAGGCACAATGCAAAATTAAAAAGTAAAGACCAAAGATCCTTATAGTACCCTCCAAAGGGTCCTAGAAATTGACTACTAAGATCAGAGTCAACCACAACTGGATGAAGAATAAAAGCATCTAATCCATCAACGGCATCTAAAACCATATCATTTTGACACATTTTTGTTCAGTTGTTCCTAATCTCCACATCTCAATGGAAGGCATCTTAAAATTGGAACCTGATCTTAAATCTAAAAATACTCGGCAATGTTCTTTTTTCGGCATCTCTGCATATAGCGGTACAATAATACATTTTATAATTATCAGGTCAACGCCTTGAAAGCTAGTTTTTTAACATTCACTAATCATCCACATCTTGGTACTTGGTAGCGCTATGCTTTATATAGACCATACGCCCCAAAGGTTAGAGTCTTGTATTTTAAGTTGTCTTTTATAACCATGAAACTACTATATTCATAGATCATGAGGCCAAAATGATTAATATGGAGAATTCAGAAAGCATTGGACTATGAATTTATATGAATGTAAAGTTAACCTGAAAATGTGGCAGAAACAATCTTGGATGCAGTTCCTAGGACCATTGGCATAGCGATCGCTTAGGAAAACATTTCTGCAAATAAAATCATGTACCGGCAAATATTCAAGATTATGCAAACTTGATACTAGTAACATGATTAAATGTAGCTACCTGGAAAGCGTCATCTTGATCCCATTTCTTAAACTGGTTACAGTAGGTCTGAGCGATGCAAAACAATATCTCAAAGGTGGTACTTGTCGGTTTTTTCAAGATTTCTTTATAAAGCAGTAGCTATAAGAACAGTTAATATTACAAATCCCCAGTAGTTGGATTCTAAAAGAAGTAAAATAATACGAATAATTGTGAAAACAAACCCAGGGAGCTAAAACATAACAGCCTTTCACGAGTGAAGGGACTCACAAACTTTTCAAAAACGTTACTGCTTTCAGTTGTACTCCCAATAATGCATAGTTCTTGAATAAACGAGCTCTTGATATTAGGCAACAGCTTCATCCTCCATGACGACAATCTCACCTGCAATGCTAGGATTGTCAGAATTGATGAAGGATGTAATCGAATTTGACCAATTGATATATAGGGAAACAATATTTTTGATTATTTATTCAGGCTGCCATGTCAAATATTCAAATTAGCAATTCAGGTCAGAAGAATAATTATAGTTTTTATAGAATTACAAACATATAAAAAATAAATTTTGGAAATGAAAATTGAACCCGATATCAATGATGAAAAGTTTCTGGTGCAAAAATCAAGTACCAATTAAAATGGATGATGACCCAAAAACGAAAACATGTCAAATTCATATTGTAGATATCTGAAACGAGAAAATAAGGCAATAGTCATGAAGGTACTGGACTGACAAAAAGGAACAATCACAAACTAACAACCTATGTCTACTCTAATGCAGAATTTGCATTGATTATGCCTAGAAAACTAAACGGAATTTCTGTTTTTTAGCTATTGATCTAAACACAAAATCATGGTATCATCGATTCCCTCCTTTCCTTAACATAGATGTTGTGCAGGTATACTTATCCATGGCATTTATCATCAGATCATACAGAGCACTTGGAAAGAATTTTCTCTAATAGATAGCATATCCATTGAACAGGGATGAAAAGGATTTAAAAGAGAACTTCAATCAGAATCTCTATCCACAGGCTCTCATACTTGCCTTTCATATCAATATAGGAAGAAATATATTGAATCATTTACTCCCTTAGTCCCATAAAAGCTCCAAAACTCGACTCTATAAATAGTTAATATCAAATGTCTAAATGCCCTTCAATATTAATGATACATGGGAATCTTGTAGAACAAAAGCACTATAAAATTTTGTAATGATGACAATGGCAAAAAAGTAATTTTTACAGTTGCAATTTTTGGGGGTGAGAGAATAAGTAGTGGCACAATGACATGTTCCCAAATAAAGAGAAGATAAAATCAACTCAAGATGCCTTTCCCCAACTCTCAAGCAAACCATTAGCACTGTAAGATCTATGGTAAGGCAATAATATAGCAACATTATTTATCAAAGCTACACAGAATCCTAAAGCCAATTACTACTCTTCTTGTCCTAAATTCAATTCATCCATGACCACTATCATGCGCAATTGATGCTCATAAATTCGTAATCCTACTATGGTAACAAGGGAACGTTATTGTATGTATCCACCTACAGTAATCGACAAAAAGATAAGCAAAGAAGAATCAATAATATTATAGCCGGATGTGTAATAAGGAACAATTAAGTACAATGAAGTGGAAACATTCTGTATGTTTTAGACAAAACAGAATCCCCTAGAGAAAGAAAGAAATTAAAGGAGACAAGGAAAATGAATGAAATATCAAAACAGGAGTGATTGGAAGATTTATGACTCCTTGTTTCTTCTGTAAATGTATAAATTACAACAATGGAAAACACGAGAAAGCCATTTCAACAACAGGCCATATAGCACCATTTTCCCGTTCTGGCCAGGTATAACACAAAAAAAAACCATGGTACAATCAAAATGCAAGGCAATCAAAGTGTTTGGGGACAAGGCTCGTGAAAAGGGAAGCTTTTAGTAAACCCTAGTTCCATTGAGCAACTACTCTAGTCTATAATCCATGCAAGTAAAAATCATGTCTCACATGCAAGGTCATGGTGCTACATGAAGCAATAAGTCATAACTTCAGACCACTGTCAAAGAAGCAACAAAGTCCCGTTCCCCAACCAACCTACAATCAGAAATGAATGCTCAATCAGAACAAACATCAGATAGAAAGAGTATGCAACTCAAGACTGAAGCTTCAGTGTACATCAGTCATACATGTTTTTAGTGGGGAAAAAGGACGTGATCGCCATCTCCTGGCAGCCACTAAAAGCAATTGTATATGGCAAAGACAATTGCTCAACACATGTGCAATCTGGATCCTCCTTCAAGCCAAAGCTACAAAAAATGCATTAAAAATAAATAAATATAAATGATAAACATGTGACCATCATTATGACATCCAACCAGATAACAAAAACACATCCAACGATAAAGAACATAAGATGTATAGAAAAACATCTTTTACTTCATATTGTCCTAACTATATGCAACATCTAAAAGTAGATCAAAGATTTCACAAAAAAGACTTCAATCCAAGTGCAAATCAATTAGGCTATTTTTATATCGTACACACCTTATGCAGAACCAAGCAAAAATACACCAGAAGACACTTGAGCCCGGTTCTCATACAACAGAGTAACGGCCTGGTTGTGAACTTGGAAGAGATAATGCTTGTGTCGTAATGTCCTCTAGAACACGTTTCAATTCTGCTTTGGCCCTCTTAACAGATTGTTCAGTACCTCCCTCAATGAACAAGTAGAGTTTTCTCTCTCCTGGTCCTGGGATCCTACCAGGTTGAATGTATTGGCCTCTGGTGGTGATGGCAGCCCCAGTCCACTCAGAAATTGGACCCAGGGTTTCTTTGTGCGTTACCTTCCACCTAGCATTTTGGGGGAAATCATTGATCTCCAATTCTGCTTCATAATGCTCAGGCAAAGAATCAGCCTGAATCCTTGCCAAATTGTGTTGCAAGTTCATGGCAGCAGCCAATGCTGCAGCTCTAGCTGCCCCTTCATTGCCGACTGCAACACCAGGCATACCAAGAATTCCTGGCAGAGCAACAGGCACTCCACCAGTTGAAGGCTGTTGACTGGCAGCAGCAAGAGCAGCAGCTTGAGCAAGGACAGCTTGCTGAGAAATATCACCTCCTGCCTTTCGCACCCCATCATCATCATCTTCCGAATCAGATTTGTCTTCTTCAAATCCATATTCTTTGGCCTGTGCTTTCTTTGCAGCCTTCCTCACTTCATCCTCCTCTTCGTTAAATTTAAAACCACTTCCACCATAGCCAGTCCCATGTGCTTGCACAAGTCCCTGATTTACCTTCGCCATAAATGCATCAGCAAGAGCTTTCAAATCATCAGGAACAACTTGATTGGAGAGTTCCAACGCCTTCACAAGATCTGGTGCATATCTTTCGTCTTCACTGGACAAAAATGTGATGGCACAACCTTTTCTACCCGCTCTCCCTGTACGCCCAACACGATGAACATAGTCTTCGTAATGGTTTGGAACATCAAAATTTATCACAAGTTCAAGCTCCTTGACATCCAAACCCCTAGCAGCAATACTTGTAGCAATCAACAAATTGCACACGTTACTCTTGAAATCAGATATGGTGGATTCTCTATCAGTCTGATCCTTGGCCCCATGTAGTGACAAGCAGGGATATCCATGTTTGAGCAAATCCCTGAATAAAGCATCACATTTTTCCTGGGAATGGACAAATATCAAAATCTTACCTTTCTCATACCATTCTCCAAGTAGCTCTAACAGTCTAAGGAACCTTTCATTCTCCAACCTCACCTCCACAAGCTGGGTTATGTCTTTATTCACGACACTCCTCCCACCTACCTGTATTTCAACAGGTTTATTTAGCACTTTCCGTGCCAATACTTCCACCTGACGAGGAAAAGTAGCAGAAAACAGTACAGTCTGACGATCAGGTCGAGTATTTTGAACAATTCTAGTGATTTGAGGCTCAAAACCCATATCAAACATACGATCAGCCTCATCCATTACCAAATATGTGACTCTTCGTAGATTTGTGATTTTCCCAGCACTGGTACAGAGAATGTCAATCATCCTGCCTGGGGTGCAAACAACAATTTCAGCCCCTCTTTTCAACTCACTAATTTGCTGGGCAACACCAGAACCTCCATAGACAGGCACGCAACTCAGACCCATTACTTTGGTAAACTTTTTTATATCACTGTGAATCTGCTGGACAAGCTCCCGTGTAGGTGCCATTATAAGTCCAATGGGTCCATCTCCAGACATAAGTGGTGGCTGGTCCTTTATATGCCTCAACATTGGCAAAACAAAAGCTAGGGTTTTACCAGATCCCGTCTTGGCGACACCTATACAGTCTCGGCCACTCATTATAATTGGAAGTGCCTGTGCTTGGATGGGCATTGGCTTATCATAATTCAGCTTTCTGATTGTCTCTAGAACTTTAGTTGTCAGTCCAGTCTGGTGCCAGGTTTTAATCGGCTTGGGTACATCCTTTCCATGTATCTTCAGTTCCAGTAGTTTTCTGTAAGCAGCAACCTCTTCTACGGTCATCTTCTGTATCTCCTTTACTTCAATATAAAAATTCTTTCTGAATGGAATATAGTCGATCTTTGAGTGATCAACAAGCGATAATTTCTCAACCTTTGTCTTCTTCACTCTTTTCATGAATTCGTCATCATCTTCATCCTCCAAAGGGTCTTCATCATTTTCAGCACCAGTATAATCTTCATCGGAATCTTCACCAGGAATAATTCTGCCCATTGATCTGCCAGCACTCTTTCTCCGCTGCTGTCCATTGTCCTGAACCTTGTCATCCTTCTTTGTATAGGAGCTCTTTTGATCCAAAACAGGAATCTCGGTATTGCTCAACTTGCTAACTTCTGGCAACACCATAGAATTCATGAAAGCATCCAAAGGATCAATATCATCATCATCCATATTATCATCACCCCTATCACCACCATTCTGCAAAGCAGGCACAGTATCCTCGCTATTTAATCCATTAACCATAACATCTCCAATTTCATGGACGGGCTTCACATTGTCGTCCACATCCATGTCCCCTTCTGCATTCTCTACAGGAGCTGCTTCTTCATCATCAGATTCCCCTTCTAGGGTCCAGGTCTTCCCTGATTTGGGTTCATCAGTCTCCCCCGCTACTCCAAGCTGTTCTCTTTCCGACTCCTCCTTCTTTCTTCTTTTTTCCTGCCACTCCTGGACTCTCCTCCTCCTCTTCTCCATTTCATCATCCAGCTTTCGTTGTTCTTCCTCCATATCCTCTTCACGGGTCCTTACCTCTTTCTTGTCTGAAGAGTTTTCATCAACCTTATTCGCCCCACTATTATCTACACTATCCTCCCTGCGTCTACTACTAGACACCTTCGTACTACGTTCCCGCTCTTCTTTGTAATCATCGTCTCTCCTCCGCCTCTTTCTATCTCTATCTCTATCTCTGACATCATCACTACCACCAGCACCATTGTGATCCCTCTCGGCTTCTCTGCGTTTCTCTCGCATCTTTTCCCTGTCCCTTTCTTCCCTCTCCCTTCTCTCCCTCCTCTCTCTCTCCTTCTCTCTTTCCCTCTCCCTCTCCTTCTCTTTCTCTCTTTCTTTCACCCTTTCCCGTTCTCTCTCCCTCTCTCTGTTCTCTTTCTCCTTTGCCCGTTCCCTCTCCCTCTCCCGCTCCTTCTCTCTCTCCCTCTCCTTCCTCTCCTTCTCTTTCTCTCTCTCCTTCTCCTTATCCCTATGCCTCTCTTTATGCTTCTCTCTATCCTTATACTTCTCATCAACACTCCTTTCTCTCTCCTTATCCCTGTCTCTCTCCCTTTCTCTACGCCTCTCCCCATTCCGCTCCTTCTCTCGATGCCCCCTCTTCAACTCTTCCTCTTTCTTAACAGAATCATCCTTCCTGCTAGATTTGTGTTTCGGCTCTTCCATGGCGTAGTTATTAATTACTGTAAAACCAGAGAAATGAAAACAAATAAAAACCCTAACTCACCACGAATACGGCAACTATATCAACTTTTTCAATCACATTACAATCGAATAAAGCAGTTTCACATGCAAACAGATACAATGAATGGAACAGCGATATACAAAACTGAAATTACCTGTTAAACTGGCTTCCGATATCGTAATCTACACCTTGGATCCCTTTCGTAACCCTAGTTTCTTGAAATTCTAACCTCTTCGAACCTCAAAATCAAAATTGGAGACTGAATCAGCCGGCAAATAGGGAGATAATCGATGAAATAGGGTTTGGATTTGAAGGTGTTCGAGTGATGTATCGAATGGGTTAACGAAGAAGGAGATGGTGACCTAGTTATTTTTGCCTTCGTTTCACTCGATGGTGTCCACAACTTTGGTGACAACTCCTGTTCCGAGCGGGTCGGTTCACTATTTCATTTTTCTTTTTATATAATCTTTTAAAAAATTATGATTTTCATTTAATAGTTTGTTGAAAATTATGATTTATAATTATTGTTATTTTTGTTCTTATTATTTATAATTTATTATTGTTTTGGTTCTTGTCGTTTATAATTCTTTACTGTTTTGCTCCTTTATACTAGGGTTGTGTTTGGTACATAGGACCGGACGGGACAAAACTCATTGTCTTATGTTTGGCGCGATATGGGATACAACATGAGACAGGTACAAACCATGTATGCATTACCAAACGCTACTCAAGATAGGAATTAACACAAGGAGGAAAATAACAATGAATTACAAACCATAAGGATAAAAATTGTAATTCCTAAACCCGAGGGATGAAAACCAAAAACTATTAATAGACCATAGGGACAAAAATCATAATTTACTCTATTTTTTCAAATTTTATAAAGAGTAAACTATATATTGGTCACTAATGGTTTGTAAAAAATAACACTTTTTTCTAGTTTTGAAATTACAAGATTACCATCGTGATTTAGAAAAACATTCAGAAGTGATCCCTCTCTCTAACATCCCTTAAGAAACTCCATTAAATAAAATGACGAAAATGTCTTTCATTTAACGGGGTTTTTTTAATGGCCATTAAAGGGAGGTACTAAATCCGTACGTTTTTGCAAACACCATGAATATATTGTAATTTTAAAACTATAAGGAGAAAAAGTGTCATTTTTAACAAACCCGAGGACCAAAAATAATATATCCATTTTAAAATAAGTAAAGTAGCTAATTAGCTCTCCCATGCTTAGCACATGGGATCATTTGGACAAAACTAAATTAACTATCCTTAGAGTTAGGACCATTTATTAAACATTTACTTTGGTAAACGTTTACCAAGTTACATTATTTTATCGGATGAATATGGTAAGGACAAAAAAATGTATCCGGTAAGAGCGAAGGCAATGACCAAGAGTTTTACCCGGTAAGTGAGGGCGACGACTCTTACCACGGTTAGCACTTACCGGGTAAATGTTTGCATACGGTACCATTTTGATAGACTAAAATCTTACCCGATAAGTAAGTGATAGTATTGAACTTTACCGATAAGTGTTTTCCTGGATACACATTTAGTAAACAACTCCTAAGTGTTCAGGTAAACAACATATAAGTTTCTAGTCACAATGATTAATTTAAATTAACACAAAATGTCTGATTTGTGTTGAATTTCTAATGCAATATGAGGAAAGAACACATAGAAATTTCAAAACCTAATGATTATGTGGCATTTGTTTTTTTAAGAGGCGTTAAAATCTGAAGTCTGGTTTCATTTATAGTTTATAAGAGGTGGTCATGAAGTTTGAAATCAGGATCAGTAAGATTGTTTGTTTTTACGAATGAAATCTAAATCGGTCAAACTAGTGCAGAAACATAAAAGATAAATAGTTTTTTACAAAGGTATAAAAAATAAATAGTTTTTGTTGACAAATCTCTTACAGCCCCAAAATATGAACCATTTGATAGAGGACAAATCAGGGTTAAGATGTATTAAGAGATATGTTTACCACTTAAAATTTCAGAGGACATTCAAAGCTTTTTAGCTCTTGTTTTAGAAATAAATAAACGCTCTTAATACCCAAACGTCTCAACGAATCAGACATCAAAGGTATTAAAGGGTAATTTTGAAAAAACAAACAGACCCTTAGCAAAAATGAGAAAGAGATAAACTACAAAACCTAATGCTTAGATGCAGGATCCGAATTCCAGTCAAAGTATACACTTCTATAACAAAAATTCCAGATATACACCGGAATAATAATTATTTATTTTTAGACTTTTTAACTGTAAAATGTTTCGGCAAATACAGGCTCACATGAGATCAGATTGTTTTCGTGAGACCCGTGTGACTAAGGGTAAGCAGCGGAACAGGGTACCCGGTTATAGCACCGGAACCGCCGGTTCCAGAACCGGAACCGATATGAGTGGTTCCGGTTCCTAAAATACGGAACCGATTGAGAATGGTTCCGGTTCTCAGTTTTTCTGAACCGTTACCCGCCGGGTACCCGGTATTTTTCAATAAAAAAAATAATTACTATTTTTTAATACCAAATTTATATTAGATTTACATCTTGAAAGCATGTTATCATCTTCATTCTTCATCTAAATTCTTCATAGAGAATGATTTATATTTTTTTTAATTGTGTGTTCAATTTGATTCATAGTATGTAATCGTTAAACTTTGAACATTTACTATTATAGTATGTAATTGTTAAACTTTGAACATTTTTTATTAGTCTATTATGGTTTGTAATCGTTAAACAATATTWGTAACCATTATTCTGTATAATTTGTATTATTGCTTATTTATTTAGTGTTTTGGCAATGTTTTATTTTTTATTTCTAAATAACAAAATTTTAATATTTTAGAAAGCGGGTACCCGGAACTGGAACCGGTTCCCGGCGGTTCCGGTTCCGGGTCCAAAAATTTAAGAACCGCTCTAACCGGTTCCGGTTCCGGTTCCTGTTCCAATATCTCAAGAACCACCGGTTCCGGTTCCGATTCCTGTCAAAAAGAGCGGGTACCCGCCTATGCTCACCCCTACGTGTGACTACTTTTTTACACTTGAAACTTCATAGCAAAACATTATGAAGGTAAAAAAACCGAACCTTCACAGCAAAATTCTGTGAAGTCAACCTTCACAGTAAAACGCTGTGAAGTCAACCTTCACAGTATAAAATAGTGGTCTCGTATATATCACGAAAACAAACTGGTCTCACGTAATCTCAAGTCTTTATATCTATATTTCAAAGTTAATGTTTATTTATTTCTATACCAATCGTTATAAAACGAGAAGAAAAGTCTGTAACTGAAATCCATACGTCATCCAACTTTTTCATTTACAGGTTTCATAATTCCAATTAAAAAATAAAAAATCAGTATTTTTCATGTATTTAACACATTTAAAATTCAGATAAAAACGGTCAAAAAAAGAATTATTTGAAAAAATATTTTAATTTAAAATAAAGTTAAATTACTTTTAATTCACAAAACCATGTGGTTATTGGACTCTTTTGAGAATCCTTAGTAGGATCACATTCTTTCAATTAAAGATAACCAATAAAACCAATTTAATTAATTAATTAATTAAATCAATAATATATTTATATAAAGCAAATTAAATGATGCTCTTATAACCAATAAACCATTTTATTTTTAAATTATTTTTTTACCAATTATAGACCATCAATACAAAGATGACATAAATGTTCACTTATTATATAAATAATTAAAAAATTAGAAAAAAGTAAGAATATATGTGTTTTTATAAAAGTAAAATGATTATTCTCTTGTAATAATTTTTTTTAAGTATATAAAATTTATATACGACAAATGCAACAAATAAAATTACACACGTCCTTCTCATCTTTGATGAGGTTTAAACCATTGACTTTCTATGAGGCCAAAGATTACGATACTAGTAGCTAAGTTAAATATCTTTTAGTCTATAATAAAAATATTAATGGTACATTATATATAAAGACATACTGATATAATTTAAAATATTTTTAATCCGATTTTTTTTATAAAATAAAAATATATAATAATTGTATCATAATATTTTATATATACTATATTATAAACTATTTGACAAAAACTTATAAAAATCATTTTTTTATACATGAAGTATTGCTTATTGATGTATATTACTTAAAATTCAAGATTACGAGTAAAATGTGCATAAGTACAACTTGTTAAGCTCCATACTGAAATTAGTGTAATTAACTGTAGATAAATATAATCAAATACAAGATAAAATTATCATTCTGAATATATCTAATATATAATTAAAATATTATTGAGTTCTAACAGACTTAGTTATTATCTTTATAAAAATTATATTATTAAACCAGAAATAAATTACTGTTTATTGATGCATATTACTTAAAATTCAAGATTACAAGTATTTTGCATAAGTACAACTTATTAAATCTCCATTTTTAAATTCGTGTAACTAACTGTAGATAAACATAATCAAATACAAAATAAACATTCATTTTAAAACATATAAAATCTAAAATATAATTAAAATAATCATTGAGTTATAACAGAATATATAATTATTATCTTTATAAAAAATTATACTATTAAAACAAAAATAAATTACTTTGTTATTAAATCTAAATTAAATTATAATAAAAATTGAATTAACGAAATTACACTAAGAAAACGAAAACTAATTAATAGTTAATTTGATATTAATATCGCTTTATTTTTTTTCAAAATTTTATGCTATCTTCAATTTTATATTTAATTCAAAAATAAAAACATTATCGTTTTTCTCAAAACCAAATAAAATCGTATTATATCGATAGAGATAGAGAATAAAAACTAGACATTAAAATCGAGATTTATCTCGCTAAATTGTGCGAGTACCCTTATGGTTTTTAAAATGAAGTTCTTGTAGTAATTAGTAAAGATAATGAGATTTTGAAATCAAAATTTTACTGAATAACCAAATAGTTTTAGGGGTCGTTTATCTAAACACCTACCGGTAAGCACTTAACGGTAAAATTCAACACTATCGCTTACTTATGTGGTAAGATTTTATTCATTAAAGCGCATCGTATGCAACAATTTATTCCGGTAAGCGCTAACCATGACAAGAGTCCTCGTCCTCACTTGCTCGGTAAGACTTTCAATTCTTGCTTTCGCTCTTACCGGGTAAGATTATTAGCTTTTGCAATATTCATCCGATAAAGTAAAGTGACTTGGTAAGCGCTTACCCGAGTAAGCGTTTCGTAAACGGCACCGTAATGTTACTTGTTAAGCATGTTACTTGTTAAGCGCTTACCCGGTTAAGCGTTTGGTAAACGGCCCCTTAGCCAAGTTATTTAAACTATATGTGGGCATGTAAAATGGTTAGATAACAGGTTAAAAACTACCAATATTTATGTATTAAATATTTAAATATGATTATAAAAAACTATATTATAAAAACA